TTATCGCACGTATGGATAGTATTAGCATCTCGACTTGTCATTTCCTTCCTTGCAGGATCCACGATTTGAGAATGAAAGCATTGCCGGTCCTGCTATACCCTACTCACGAGATTACAAGAGAAAGGTATCCTTAGTTTAGTAGCGTTAAATTTTCTTTCTTTCAATAATGTTTTGGCTATACGAGAAATATTTTTTATAAGAAACTTTTTATTAGTTTATTTAAGGTGGAATACTTACATTCGAAATTGCCACGAGCTGGTTCAAATGGTAAATGTGATATGATAGTGCACAGAGAAACACTATTCGAGGATTCTTATCGACATATCATGGAAAAGGTAGTTGTCATTTGTAACCTGCTTTTAGTTTGCAACTCGTCAAAATGGTCTGTAAAAAGCGATCTACGTAGTAGTTGTTTGGTTTAGAAATTTTCTGACGTTTTTTTAAGGAATGTGCACGCTTTAAAAAATGAAGCTGATAATCCCACAAGTGTACTAGTTCGCACAATAAAAGGTGAAAGCACCTTAACACTTTTCATCATCAGGAAAGAAAGCTACAAAAAGTACCGAAATAGGAAAATAAGCAAATTTGTGATACTCTATTACTAAACATAGAATTTGGTTGTCTGATATCTGTTTAACGTAACTTTGACTTCTCATCTTGATAGAAGAAATTACTCTCAAATAAAGCGATACTACTTTATCTTCAATAACGGTTAGATTATATGTTAATTTCTAGACTCCTGCCGAGCTACGACATAAATTATGGATTGAGTTCTTTGGAGAAACTGGACTTGATTATGGTGGAGTGACTCGTGAATGGTTTTTCCTGCTATCGCATGAAATCTTCAATCCGTACTACGGTCTTTTTGAATACTCAGCGACGTAAGTATTATGATTTTCTTTTCAAATAATTACTCAACTCATGGATAGCAGTAATATGTCATCATTTGCATTCAATTTTAGAATTGAGATATACATCAGAATCCCTTTGATCAAGTTTCATTTTGGATCTAAGCATCGTCTCCATACTTCTAGTACTTGTGAACAGTAGCCTTTTCAGAGATAATTACACTTTACAAATTAATCCGCATTCTGCTGCCTGCAACCCAGAGCATCTTTCATACTTTTATTTCATTGGCAAAGTAATGGGCATGGCTATCTATCACGGGAAATTATTAGACGGTTGGTTTATCGGATTTCAGTTTTTCATATTTGCTTCATCTCGAAATCATTTGTGTTGACTTTATTGCTGACGAGAACTGGCCCTCATACACTCTAACTCTTAAAAACATCCTATGGTGAGATTGAGTGAGCAATGAAAACAAAGAAGTTGAATTCAAAAAAATGTTTACTGGCTGAAAACCAGCTGAAGACCAGTTATTGATTTCTTTACTTGTATGGCTAAGCCTCTTGTTTTCTATTTCTTCAGATTCTAATTTTGCAGCTTTCTTCATTCGTCCTTTTTATAAAATGATGCTTGGAAAGAAAATTACATTGTTTGATATGGAATCAGTGGATAATGCCTATTATAACTCTTTAATATACATAAAGGATAACGATCCAGAAGATCTCGACCTGACATTTGCCGTTGACGATTGCGTGTTTGGAGAGGCTGGTGCAATTTATGATCTAGTTTAGCCATACAAGATAATAATGGATTCTAGACTCACACCACTGAATTGATTGAAAATGGACGTGAAGTCCGAGTTACTGAGTCAAATAAGGAGGAGTACATAGAAGCAGTAGTAAACTGGCGTTTTGTCAAGCGTGTCGAGAAACAGATGGAGCAGATTTTGAGAGGGTTACATGAGGTGACTCAGTAGATTCATACGTATCTAAAGTCAATTAATAAAAAAATTTTTTTTGCAATCAATGTTCTATCTTTCTTCCATTTAAGGTGGTCCCATCAAATTTACTTAGAATATTTGATGCAAATGAAATGGAACTGCTCATGTGTGGACTGCAAAAGATTGATGTGAAGGATTGGAAAGCGCATACAGTATATAAGGGTGGATATGGACCAAGTAGTCAGGTGAGATCTGTATCTAACCACTCCTTTGATATTATTGTGGAGGCTCTTTTCCAAGTTCTCAAAATGTTGATTCTAAAGGTAGAGGGTTTACCCTAAAAGTTGCAAATTAAGGTGATCCACAATTTTTGGAAGTGCATTTTATCGTTTGATAACGAAATGCGAGCACGAGTGCTGCAGTTTGTTTCGGGAACGTCTCGGGTACCAATGAATGGATTCCGAGAGTTGTACGGTAAATTGTTTGAAATTGTTTTATCACTTCAATTAAACTATGCTTCTCAACATCAAAACACCTTATAATATATATTGGTTTTTTATCTCCTATATCAATCGTTTCCTATATTTGTTCTTTTTTTTT